TCCATGTATATACGTCCTCTCTGTCTTGCAGGTTTCACGCAGGGTGACGTGGGGCTCGCCATGGGCAAGCTCTACGGCAACGACTTCTCCCAGACTCTCTCTCCTCCCTCCCCCTCTCTCTCTCTCTCTCTTTCGCCCCCTCTCCTCTCTCTCTCTCTCTCTCTTCCCTCCATGTATATACGTCCTCTCTGTCTTGCAGGTTTCACGCAGGGTGACGTGGGGCTCGCCATGGGCAAGCTCTACGGCAACGACTTCTCCCAGACTCTCTCCTCCCTCCCCCTCTCTCTCTCTCTCTTTCGCCCCCTCTCCTCTCTCTCTCTCCTCTTCCCTCCATGTATATACGTCTCTCTGTCTTGCAGGTTTCACGCAGGGTGACGTGGGGCTCGCCATGGGCAAGCTCTACGGCAACGACTTCTCCCAGACTACGATCTCGCGCTTCGAGGCGCTCAACCTCTCCTTCAAGAACATGTGCAAGCTGAAGCCGCTTCTCGGCAAGTGGCTGGAGGACGCCGACGCCTCGCTCGCCAACCCGGACGCCGCCATGCCCGGCTTCTTCCACGCCTCCCCCGAGCACCTCTCCGGGCGGCGACGCAAGAAGCGCACGAGCATCGAGACGACGATCCGCGTCGCGCTCGAGCGCGCGTTCCTCACCAACCCGAAGCCGATGTCCGAGGAGATCCAGATGCTCGCGGACGGGCTCGGCATGGAGAAGGAGGTCGTGCGCGTCTGGTTCTGCAACCGCCGCCAGAAGGAGAAGCGGATCAACCCGCCGTCGAGCGTCGGGAGCCCGCCGATCGAGGCGGTCATCCGGGGCAACGGCGGAGGAGGAGGAGGAGGAATCATCGGAGGAGGCGGAGGAGGAGGAATCATCGGAGGAGGCGGAGGAGGAGGAATCATCGGAGGAGGCGGAGGAGGGGTGAAGTCGTCGCAGAATTCGCCGTCGTCGCTCCTGCCGATGTCGCTGTCGTCTGCCATGAAGCAGCAGCAGCAGCAGCAGCAGCAGCAGCAGCAGATGAAGCAGGAAGCCATGAGCCTCGGGATGCTGCGCGCGGCCGCCGCCGCCTCGGAGCACGAGTTCCGGCCGATCCACGGCTTCGCGCCGGCGACCGCCGCGACCGCGCCCGTTACCACGGCGATGACCCACGTCGGGTCGATGTCGATGACGCTGCCGCCGGCCGTGCCGCTGATGTCCGCAGCTGCCGCCGCGAAGACGGAAGCCAACGCTTCGAGTTGATCGGCCGCCGCTGCGTCGCAGAGCGACGGTCACCGCGGCGACGGGAGGACGGACGAAGCCCCGCGCTTCTGCGCGTGAGGATTTCGTGGTTCGTCGTCGTCGTCGTCGACGGCGGCAGTGATCAAAAGGAGTCCGCGCCGCGGTGCGCGCGGGAGAGGAAACCGGTGATGACGGACGGAGGAGGGAGAGACGACGAGAGAGAATAGGGAAGACGGACGGCGATGTGTCCGTGCGTGCGTGCGCGTGTGCCATAGGTTGAAATTTTCCACGAGAGACAGAGAGGGACGGTGTTGCATAATCTGTATATAATACGACTGCTTTATTAAAAACGTGTAGAGAAAATATGGAGACGAAGAAGATATATTTAGAGACGAGGCGGTCGCAAATCGGACGGCGGCGGCGGCGGCGGCGTCGACGGCGACGGCGACGACAACCGCGCAACACGCCGCGGGAATCTCGGATGTAAATAATGCTATTTTCCAGGAGCCACGTTTCCCGCGCCGTGCTGCGCGGGCGAACGCGCATAATAACGGACGCAAACTCGCGCCGGCAGTGGCGCCGTCGGCAGGTGGGGGGGGGAGCATTGTGAGGAGCAGAGCGGAGGCAGAAGAAGAGAAACCTTTACACGCGGGACACTTGTGATACGTCAGGAGCAACAAGGAAGAAGAAGAAGAAGAAGAATAACGGGAAATAGGAGCGCTTCCTTTGGCCCGTTTTTTTCTGGGCCGTGTCCTCACCGTAGGTGGCGCCACGGTTCTTGTTTTGTCCCAGGAGCCCATCGCCTCCTACAGTATTATGGGTACAGCGGCGGTTACCTTCCCCCGGCAAGCGCCGTGGTGACCTTACACCGACCCCTGGTGACCTTGCGATGACCCCCGGTGACCCCACGCCGACCCCGGTGACCTCCCGGTGACCCCCGGTGCCGACCGCGCGAAAATGCGCGTCCGCGTGCCGCCAAGCAAGCGAGAGAAAGAGATACAGTTGCGCCATCTGTTGGCGGCAAAAGCCGCAAAACTGACAATGAATACCTCATCGTAGTAGAGACAGAGAAAAGTGGAGAGAAGCGAGAAGAGAGAAAAGAGTTACGTTATATATGTTTAGTATGTAGATAGACGATGAACTTTCGTGTATTCTTGAACACGGTAGTGAAGCATGGTTAGTGTTTTTAACGTGGACGTTGCTGCGGCGGCGGCGGCGGCGGATGCTGCGCGCGTGCGTGCGGGAGCGCGGAGCAGGGCTGAGCGCGAGCGACCGTTGCCATGGAGATGCACTCGTCAGCGCATTGCCCCACCGGTCAAGGTGATCATCACGACATATGATGGATTGCACCCTGCCTCTCTGCATCCTGTTCTCTATCTCTCTCTCTATCTTTCTATCTCACTTTCTTCTTATCTTTCCCCCACTCTAGCTCTCTCTTGTCTCTTTCTCTCTCTCTCTCAATCTCGCTCTCTCTCTCT